ATTGGCACTATTTGTGCGCGAATTCTAAGGCTTTCTCGAAAAGCGTTTTCCTCTTACTCAATGTGCTTAGTGATACCCTTTCTTTCCACGTTTTGTTCAAAACTTTAATTCATAACCAAAGAGACCATTTATGTTTTTGTAATGTAAAACTAATGACAATTTGCAATTGAATTTAGTTTTCAGTGTAATCTGCCAGAACCTGTTAAAAAAAATGAGCCAGTTAAAAAGTAGACAGCAAACGAAATTAAACGACGCATATTACGAGTATTAAAAATGAAATGCTTGTCTTTGGGAAGAGCACTGTTTGAGAAAGGTATTTTTTAGCATTCGCAATAATTCAAATAAAGTTTTCAGAAATATTAGAAAACTTTGGGAAAAGCTAAGAGAGCTGTTTGATCGGAATGATATTTGTTAATAAATCACCTACTTAACGCTGAACAAAGAATGAAATTTACAGTTTAATAACGTAAGGCAGATGAATGCTTTAACTCGTACTTCATAAATAAGGTCTTTATGCAATATTTCGATGTGTGGCTTCACGACAGCCTCTATTTCCGAACGAAACGTTGTGTTCCGGATGCTCACGTCACGAGAAACGCTCCTGTTTTGGAAGTGTCACGCCCGTGTGGAACACGACCACCAACCCACCTCTATAATTAGTAATTGTAGATAAAGCCTCATAAAGAGATGCGGGTCGTTTATAAATAGTAACACCACGAAATAATAAACGCAACGTTAAACGAAAGATTGTGTACAATTATTTTACTTCCAGCAAAATGCTTGTTTTTACAAAAAATATGTTTTTGTAAATATTAGAAAGCATAAACTATAGGAGGCATATGGAGATAAGCAGTTACATTATCTGCTGCACGTGAGCGTGTTAGCAATACGGTGAACTATTTCTCTAGATAGTGAGCATGTCATTTATATGTTCCGACGAGCCCCGCACAAGTCAAATGACAGGCGTCGAGTTTCGTGCGCCCGCGCTCATTGTTTATCGCCCTCATTTTCGATCAAAGCTGTTCAAACAAAGGGCCTGCACTTAACTGCGCTTGATATAATCAATGCAATCTGTGAGCCAAAGGCGACTGCTGACTGAATGGCTAGTTACGAAATCGTTAGTTTCCAATGCTGCCTTCAGAACATAATCTATAAATGTATAGGTAACACTAAAATACCTTATTCAGGATCGAATAATGAAAAGCCTTTTGGCAAATACTTATACTAAGTGTGAAGGAAAGGAAGGGAGTTGTTGATAAGTAGAGAAATAATAGCTGTTCAGATTTTTATTTTTAGAATTCTAGGACTTAAAATTTATAAAAAAACCTTTATAGGATCATGTCGTTATTCTTCTGCCTATCTGTTCTTCTTCATATACCTATCAAGTTGAAATTAATACCAAACGCTTGTGAATCAAAGCAGTAAAAATCAAACTTAAATCCACGCAATAAAAATGCGTAGTAATTTAAGGCTTTTATTTTAAATACATTAAAGTAAAAAAAATAATGGGAAGTACCAGATATTTTGAGCATGAACCTAGAAGCAGGAAGGCGAAAAGCAAGGTATTATAATTAAAAGGAAAAATACTAAGTTTATTCAGTTACTGTATCACAAAATGAAATGTTTTTAGCGATTACAAACTTATACTCGTATTTTGCATTTGAGGGGCCTGTTGGTCTAGTGGTTAGTGACCCTGACTGCTAAGCCGGAGGTCGTGGGTTCGATTACCACCCAGGACTAATATTGTGTGATGAGCACGGTCATTTATTCTGTGTCAGGGTGTAATTTATCTATAATACGGTATGTATTTAAAAAATATACAGGCATGTTTATTAGCAGTCTGGTTACCATAGCACAGGCTCTGCCTAGTTTGGGATTAGAGGGCCGTGTGTGAGATGTGTAAGATATATATACATATTATATATATTAGATATAATATATATTTTGCCAAACTGACCATCGCGTATATTGGTGTAGTGTATCAAAAAATGCGATAAAAATTAAGTAGACTAATTTTCCACACACATGTTTGTAGTTAATCCTTAGTTAAAAATAAGTGGTTAAACATAGGCCATTGGTAGAATATTCCCATTTGTCCTGAAAAAGGCTAAGTCTAGCCTAACAATGAATTGCTTCATTATATACTACGAGTATTATATCTTTAACTGGTTACTAGTTTTGTTAAACATGGTCCTTTATCGCTCTAAGTCATCGCTCTAAGTCAAGAGTATTTGATTCGGGACAAAAATAAAAGCAATCTCCGTCCGTCTAGACCGCAGACTATTGGATTAAGATGTATTACTACCATACATTCTACTGTAAAAGAAATGCCAACTTATATATTAAATCTGTATCTGTTAGGTGTAATAGAGTTAGATTTTAACTTGATCTGAATACAACACTTCGTTTTTAGGTAGGTTGATTTATTAGTTTTTACCAATTTGTTCAAGTCGTTAAATTTATTTTATACTTTGAGCTTAGTTTTAGTATTTCTTAGGATTATTCGTAGTTTAAAATATAAATAAAATATAAATTTTATTCATGATAATATAAATTTTTACACGTCAGTAGCGCCATCTAGTATCTAGTAGAAAAATCTTTATAGTTTATAAAATGTGATCCATAGGACAAAAGTTTTTTGTACTACTTGATATAATAAAATATAGTTTCAGTTTTGTTGTTTGTCCAATTTCAATTATTTCACGGCAATGAAAAATTTCAATGATCCTTTTTCTTCAATTATTTAGTAATATTTTTGAATAGTGATGTAAGTTTTAAAATCTGCAATTTCCTACACATGTTCTCTAAGGAGTATATAAAATAGTTTGTTACTTAGATAAGTTTTGTAAAACGAGGCACGCGACGGCTTCCTGGACGGTGGTTTATTATAAAGTCGTGACCCACGCTCGTGTTGTGGACAGTCCCGTCGGGCGGGCGCTTTGCGTTTTCTTATATCGCTAGTCGATCGCTTCAACCTGGAGTGAGATTCCTATTTAGAAATAAGTAATTCCTGTTTAAACTTAATAGGAGCAAGATCAGCAATTGTAACTTACGTTTCCGTCGTTCCTACATTGTCTAGTGATATAATTTATTAATTAGATGACTTAACCTCAAAATTATAAGTCATCCTAAAGTATGAAGAATACTTGAAGATGACTTATTATTTGAAGTGAAGATTTAAGGTAAATTTTGGTACTTACAAGTTTTCACGAAAATCTACGTAAAATCTGGGTAGGTACAGAACCCTCGGCGCACGAGTTCGACTCGCATTTGGTTTTTTTGTTAGTATCATAAATGTGCCATTCCATCTCAAAGATATTTTCGGTTCCTCCTATTACGAATTTTTACAGTTTGAATTTCAAGGAAGAAAGCCTTTGTTAACGTAGAATTGAAAAACTTTTTGCAGAACATCGTCAGTTAAATAGTTAAAACAGCCTCTAGTAAATACATTACCTAAGGTAGGGATAAACCGTACCGTACGCACTCCTCGTAAAGGTACCTAAACTACAAAATATATTATTATACTCAATTTTTTTTTATACGACGTCGACGTCAACGTCACGTCAACTTTTACTGCGATGATTATCCTTGACTTTCCGTACATAATATGCCCGCATCCCTGATTAAAATGTAGGCTAGCTACATTAATGTGAACATTATCGGTAAAACCCCATAATAATCGTAGGAGTCAGAATAATATACACTATATCGATTCGTGTAATCAACATCTTTTTAACTAAAGTAAATAGAAGCTAAGTAAATTCTGAAAGAACTGTCTTTAAAAATTTAAGAATAAAATATTTCATTCTGCTTTCTAAGAGTAGACAACTTTTGAATTCTGTTGCCGTTTTAGTGCCAATTAGACATTACACTTCAGAACTTTGAAGGCACCTTTTCACTTTACCCTAATGAAAAAGCTTTGTGTTAAAAGAGAAATATTTTACGAAATCGTGAATATACATATAATAAATTCTCTTTTTCTACTTTTCACGATATTGAAATTTAGAATATATTACTTTTTTGATTTGGTTAACCAAGTTAGTGAGAAATCTATTAATATATCTATAATAACGCAGATATTTTCAAAAATTAATTTGTCGCCATCTTTCTTTGAAAACATTGGGCACTTTTACGAAATGCTAAATTGTAAAGTATTGAGGACTACCAAGACCAGGCACTTGAGCTTATAAATTTCCTTTTTTATAATATTCTATATGTGCGTGCATTAGGCGTTCGATTAGGTTCAATGTAAGCTTCACAGGCCGACGAAGCGTGACGTTGGGTTCATATTATACTCATTGATTATTTTACGCTTGTACGCTTCAATGGCAGAAAACAATAACCAGATTATGTTTATATTATATCCAATAGTAACCAAATATGATTTTATTAGGATCTCTCCAGACTGGTTTATGGTGAAATAGAATCCATGTGACAGATGTATATAATCTCACTTAATTTATAGCAGACAGCTGAGTTAGGGGATATGCTAGTGGTACAAATGACCAATTAGTGATGGTTTAACGCTATCGTCATTATCTTGTGCGTTTTAAAGTTACGTTTAAAAATACTTACGTCTCCGACACAAGTTGGCAATTTATTGTATTAAAAAATTACTTAAGAGATCTCACACACGGCCAGCCGACTTATACTTAGTCTGATTTCAGACTATTCATGAGCCTGTGCTATGGTAGCTTGACTTCTGCTAAGCTTACTTATATGACTATATTTGTATTTACATATTATAGATAATTTACACCCTGACATAGAACAAGCGAACGTGCTCATCACTGAATTATTTAATGGATGGTCCTACATTTATATATAAAAATATGTTTATTAAACTCTTACCTGTTCCTATCTTCTTTGTAAAGATGATATAGGCTATTATTAAACGAATATCTGTACATGTAATTCCCAGATTTAAATAAAGTTAGTTTATTATTAAATAAAACCGTAATAACATTTCTGTTTCTTTACCTATTTATTTTTTTGTGCAGGCAAGTGTCGGTGCTGCAGACATCGATCCCTTTACCAGCGTCTGCAGCAGCCGTACGACGTGCCCCACCCGACAAGAGACCGCTGCCAGCTACACCTCATGCAGGTAAACCTATACTGTATATTATTATACCTTAAATTAGTAATCTACGAAAGGTACAGTAGGAATTTACGTACATCGTGTAAGTGGTGTTGGTGGTAACTCTTGTAATATATGTATGTACTTTTGTCTAGTTGGTTTGGTAATATGATTTTATATTATCTAGCGATGAAAAATATTTCTAAGTATTGGGACTTAATACGAATATTAATTCTAACTATGGTATTAAATAAAATGGTTTTTCTTCTTCTTCTTCATAGCCTTTTCCCACTTTGGGTGGGGTCGGCTCTACTTTTTTCACGACGCAAAGATATTGTGTCAAGGGTTGTCAGATGTGGTATATTCTCCTTCAGAAGCTTCGTCATACCACCCACCATGTCAAAGGAGGTCATCCTCGGCCTTTTCTACGTTCTAGCAGGCCTTTTTGCAATTTCTTCCAAAAAGGAATGTTTTCCTAATCCTTGCATCCTACTTGTAATGAATACGCGCAAACTACATTAATTATAGGTAGATTATCTAATGCCAATTTTATTCCATTTAGCAGATTTGATTGTCTAAATAAATAAAATGGTATTTACATAATGCATAAAATACATAATTGGTAATTTCACAAGTTCTTGTATCGCAAAACAAGAGAGGCCGCCAGCGTAGAATTTAATGATTTTAACAATAAATTATTTAATAACTCTTTAAGAAATTAGTATTTATACGTGTACACACTTGTCACGATAGAAATGGTCTATTTACGATCCTAGACAACAAAAAACAGGTCGCTAAGTATTTTATGTATTAAATTTCAGTTTTAATAACATCCTATAAGCAATAGCCAAGTAAAGTACGCGCGAAAGTATAATAATTACAACCCCAAGATTTAGGTACAAAAGTTAGTTATTAAAGTTTTCAAAATTTAAATTGTACCTACATAATCTAAACTTTCATAAATATATTTTCGCATGGCAGTCCGTTTAATTATTACTAGCACCTACGGTTAGGGATAACATCGAAAGAAAACCGTGGATTCCTAAAGCATTCCATTATGTTTGTGTAGGTTTGCAAAATGTTGCCAAGCTGCACAAGGCCAATGTGGCGGAGTAGGCCTTACCACTCTTAAACAGTGATGAGGCAATACGTTATCCCCACTGGTCGTTATCCGTAATTGCGAAAGCAGGCTTAGGCTCAGCCCTACCAATTTCCTTCTGAAAAATGGACAATCGAATGCCTCTAACTTAAAATTTTGTTAGCTATTTTAACCATTATTCGCGATTAGACACATTTTGCGACACTATTCAAAATTGGAATTGATAGCCATATTATGACATGACATCTATAACTATTCTAATTAAATACACATATAACACACTTACTAAAAGATAAACCGTAGAATTGGGAACTTCACCATTTTTTAGCGTTCGTCAAACATGGTAGTCACGTCAAACTGAAATATCAAAGTAATTTTAGCCGTACCACGACATTGGCCATTTTTATTTTTATTACTAATGAACTTACCAAAGGCCCAAAACAATCGCTGCAGAGCTTGCGACTTAAACATAAAATTCGGGAAATATGCTCATCATGAGTTTAGAATTGCTTTACTTGTTCCAAAGAATGACTTTTTGTTTAAACACCTTCTTTAACCCAATAGCATATAGTACATTCATCAATTGCTAAGAGTGTTTGATTTGTTGCTTGATACGAGAACAAATGCCAGTTACGCTTTAAGTTGTTAAGAATCGTACGACTTAAAATTACAATATTTAAGAGTTTGCGCTGAGTGCAATGTCTTGTCTCTAACGACTGAGATGTATAATTAATTTTATCCAATCATTAAGTAAGTGTTCCATCCGTTGTTATCTGGTCCCTTAACTCTGGGAGATGGAAGTCAGTTAGTCTGTGAATTTCTTCTAGATAAGCTACAGTCGAAAGATTTTTCATGTGAAAGTTGATAGAAAATCTTTGAATCCAAGACGGTCTCTACTCAAAGCTCTACCGAGCATTAAGCATACAATATTTTGGTCGTAAATTTATTATTTTTTTATTTGCTGGTATTTATTTATTTATTTTTATACTTTAGTCACATCATTGAAATGTTTATCTGCATAAGTAACATCGCAAAAAAAGTCCATTGAGATGTAAGAAATTTTAATCTTTTAATAAAGATTACATCCAAAAACGTTTGGGTTCTTTATTAAAAGATTTTGAAATAAGAAAATATTAATAATATAATGTAACTACCCACGTGTTTTATTATTCAAATTATATATTTTTTTGGATCATTCATAGCGAGAGTAATTTCGAAGTAAATGTTAATATGTATAACATACATAGCTATAAATAGAAATAGTATAGAATTGTGTTCGTAAATTGCAAGAATTGTGCTAGATACCTCCTTATTCAGGCTTGATTGATTCACGTATTTTAGATATATGATACCATAATAGACATTTTAGAGCTGTTTTTGCAATATTAGTAATGTACATATTTACACGAACTTGAGTGTATGACACAGTACAGTAACATTGAGGTTTAATGATTTTATCAATCCTCAATGTTACTGTGCTGTGTCATAAACTTGATTAGAGTTCGTGTTCTTATTCGCTTGAAACTCAATTTATTAAGACCCTACTTTATTTTATATAACGGCGAACTCCCGAATACAATTTTGTTGGCATATTTATTGGGTGGATGTGATGATGAAGTGATGAATGTGACGAAAAATATACAATAGTATAGAGGTTAAATTCCTTAACAATTTTGTCTTAGACATTCCTGTAAGTCTGGAATTAAAGATATTCCACTTTAAATTCGGAGAAGTTATGATATGTCAATACAAGCTTTTAGTAAAAGATTTAAAGCATTTTGCTTTTTTTCCACAAACTAATAGTTCTTATCTACGCAATTGCACGATGTACTACTATGAGAAAGTTATTTTATGTTAAATTTTAATAAAAAAAAAATCTTTTTTTTTTAATTATTTATTTGGAACGAACGACAAGATGTTATGTCATTGTCAACAGACGATCCGTGGTCATTATTGCCAGACTTGATATAAGTTTGAAGAATTATTGTGATTTTGTTTTATTATTTAATTATTAACACTTCTACATTACTTGTAGTAGTACGAAATAAATATTACTTTTTTTACTTTCATTATGATTTGTAAACGTAAATATAATTGCAAAATGTATAAATGCAAAAAGGGCAGACGTTATGTTAACCCCAAAGTCTCTTCAGTTCTAAAATACTTGGCAACACTATCTGTATTAAAAGAATTGAAAAACATAGTAATGATTCAAATACAATTTTACTAAAATTCATTTTGTTTTCAGACTTACTCAGGTCTTGAACATAATTAAAAAAAATCTAACGAAATTAAGTTTTCATTCATAATGAAGGCTTTTCTAGACACTCAATCATTCCATCAACTATTATTTCGTCATTGTTCTTTGGCGACCTTTAGGTTTTATTTAAAACAAGTCCCGCACTAGGAATAAATCCTGTGTCGTGGGAGACTTTACAAACATACTAACTAGTACATGAAATGGACACAAAAACATCCAAACTCAGAACAATAATTTGTGGATAACACAAAGTGTCGTCCTATGTGGGGATAGAACTCACAACACTCACCGTAATAGGAAGCGGCGTGGCGACCGTTTCAACCAATACGCCATCCGTGCAGTTAATTGAAAAAAAAAGTAATAGGTTGAGTTCATTTATCGCTTGTTAACTCATCCTGAGGTCTGGAGGGTCAAAAACGAAATGCTAAAAGAATATATCGTCTATTTATTGACTTCTCCTCACGTATGTATGGAAGTTAAACAACATTTGTTTTATTACTTGTCCACATCAGATAAATGCAAGCGCCAGAGTGATGTATCGTTCCCTTTTTTAAAGATAACGTGTTGTGCTTACCTTATCAAGCATCGGTCATAAAATATGTAACTGATTATGTCATTTTCTGGTTCATTGCTTACAATAAAAGTGTGATGAGTGATGATATTAAATATCAAATTAATACTCGTATTTGCATAATAATTTCGTAGTAATTATATACACTCGCTTCACATATGACGAGAGTGAGGTTGAAGCATTTATAAGGTACTAAACTAAACGCTTTGCTCTATTTTCATAACATAAACAACAAGCCAGCTCTTTAAATTAGTCCTTTTAAAATCGTACGTTCCACTATATTATATTATTACATTTTACTAGAATTTATGTTATTTATAGATATTACATACTTGTCTTTAATTTACCTGACGTTACAATACTTCATCTCTTATCTCTTCTTCTCTTTTTACTGTTAGAGCTTCAATTTGTTTAAATCATTATAGACTAACGCACAGAACAGTGAATAAACACTGATTATTCACTGTTCTGTGGCCTAACGTCAACTGCTCATCACCCTTTACAAAATATTACTTTCCTCAGTAAAGGATAGTTTTCTAATTCTAACCTGTGATATTCACATTCATTATTGAATAATTTTACTGGTTATTTGTGAGCCAACTTGGCAATACGACTATAACTTTTCACGTAAAACTTTCTAATCGGGCTATCCATTTTCGAGTAATACGTGAACCTAATCCGTTTTTTGAAGTCGGTTTAAACATACGGTATACATTGTTACTAAAGTACAAATATATTAAATCACACAACACATTGTAATACTCTATTAACTGAAGTATATTTACAAATAAAGTTGTGATATCGGAATTGACTGGCGACACAAATTCGTATATTTAGTTCTTTGTTATGATTCTCACGCGGGTCGAGTTATCTTGAGACTCGTCGTGCCCTGCTGATATCGTGTGGATATCGTGTGGTGCAGATGGCTGATGTATCCTCAGTTCGCGGCTACTACTCACGCTGGCCGCTCATTTGACGATCTTAGTTATTTTTAGGTGATGGCGGCACGTAAATAGTTTTGAAAACCAAAGTTTAGTGGTCTTGGTATTTTACAAGTATATTGGTAGTGTTATAAAGTAAGTTACCTTCTGTGAATTGGTTGATGTTTACAAAAATTTAAAGGTATGTGGTAAAGATTTTTTACTCAGAAAATATAAGATCACTTCCTTCAGTTTACGATGTCCAAGTTTGTTATCCATTGCTTCTTGTGTTTGTCAAATGCTTTAATGCCGTTCTTAATAAAATGACCACGTACATTTAACAAACGTATAAGCGAAAAAAATCATTATCAATTTGAAAATAAGATTCGTAGTTTTGGGCAACATTTTTGTTCCAATATTTATCTAGATTAAATATTCAATCAAATTCAAAAGTACTTGCTTAGTGCGTATAGCAGCATAGTTTTCGCGTACTAAACGTAACTCTATGGCATTTTTTCCCTCAAGATATTATGACTAAATACATAGATAGATTTAACTAATTTCGTATTACGATATAAAATCATTAATGATATATTTTAAAATGCTTAAAAAATACATTTGCGTTCAAATTTCGTATAACGAATATGTGACACAAAGTTCATATTTTGACAACTTATCTGTAATTGTTATTTATCATTAACTTAATTAAAAACTAATCTCATACCGAATTTTTAAGTGAGAGGAATAGATAAAGTTGACAGTGTTGTGGATACTGCATGCTTATATACCGTATTGTTTTAACAAAGCAAGGCATCTTTTCCAGTTCCTACTTGCTTTATTAAAAATTAATGTGCCTTATTCAACCTGATGTTATTCTTTGAATTAAATCATATAACAAACAGCTCTTTGCGTCGTGATCGCGTTTTGTTTTTTCTTTATCATGTTAATGATGTGAAGGCACTTAAACGTTGATAGAATAATTTTCGTACATTCATAATCGCAATACGTCATACGGGTACTGCATTGTCGTTGCTAAGTGATGGATAGTCTCGGCCTGAATAAAGAACGGATGTAGTCCGCGGTTGATTGACAATGTTATTTTGCGCAGTGGCAACTATGTACTTCCTTCGGTTTACAGCAACACCTGAGTCCACCCATTGTTACTATTAATGTATTGCACATTTTACAGCAAGGCAAATCATAACAAATCTCCTTTGCAGTAACATCACTTTCGCTCACAGAAAAAAAATAACAATCGCAGAAAAAAGTAAATGAAATTATTGTGATACTAGCTGAGTCCCGCGGTGTTACTCTCGGTTTATCAAATATGTTTCAATTCCTTGCTCATTCCATAGGAACACTATATTTTTTCGGGACAAAAAGTAGCTTTGAATTAATAGGGTGTCACCACTATGCCACATTTTTATCAAAATTGGTACAGCCGTTTGAGCGTGAAGAAGTAACAAACATACAAACACCCACGGTCACAAACTTTCGCTTTTATAATATTAGGGTGATGTTAGGTTAGTGCAGCATTTATTTGTTAGCTTGTGTTTTCTACCTTTTTGTTTCTAATATAAACCGTATTATTGTGCGGGTTAATATGTTAGAACAATTATAATAATAACCTCACACATCTTATTCACGGCCGTCTGATCCCAAACTAGGCAGAGCCTGTGCTATGGTAACCCGACTACTGATAAACATATACATGTTATAGACTAATTACCCAGACATAGAACAAATGATGGTGCTCAACACACAATTATTTGTCTTGGGTGGGAATCAACACCGCAACATCCAGATGTTACGGGTTTGATCCCCACCCACACAGGACAGCGATCTTAGCAGTCTGGATGACTAACCACTATACCTACCAACAGGCTTAATTTTTTATTATGAATATTATATGTAGTTTATGTAGGAAGAACATATATTGCTCCTAGACATGGAAATTATTGCTACATTTTTTATTGGTCACTGTGATTTCAACTGTGATAAATCACTACTTAGATTTGATCATAGTCAACCTTTTTTTTTAGATTTACACCTTTCTCGTAATAATAAGAATTAGTCGTAGTGATGTTGTAGATGAGTCACAGGAGCGATGAAATGATTTTAAAATCATAAGATTTACACAAGTGATAGCGATTTTATCCCATGCCTAATTTCCCTGTTACTTACGTCATTTTTCATTATCAACCCCAAGACCGAAAGACCCAACGACAGTATCTAAAAATACAACAAAGAAATTGGCAGGTTTTTAATTGATATGCCTATGCAGTAATTTTTTGTATGCATATGAATGTAAAAAACTTGTCTATTAAATTAGAAGACATTATTCTAAGCATGTGGTTGCTACAACAATATTCCCAAGCTTATTACTACCAACCGTAATGAAGATCGCTTACACCCAAAGAATTTATAATAAAAAATATAAGTAGGAATACTACCTATATGGAATTAAGGGACACGAAAAGATAAAGTGCCTTTTGGGCTCTCTTGTAAACCATGTGCTTGCATCGTATTCAATGTTTTACTTTCAAACAGGGCTTCAATTTGAATGTGCTGGCATAACTTACGACGTTGTTGAAGCCCCTATGCTCCTAACCACTACTAACTCTGCACAAACTTAAGGAGATAACTTAATTTACGATTGTTCCATCAGTATTATCTTACATTCGTTTGTATAAGCCTTCAACATTAACAATTTTTAAGTTAACACGTGAACGCATTATTTGTTTACCTTCACCAACGGATGAGCTTACTATCATATCATAACACTATTATCTAATGCCAAAGCAAACGAGCTCACTGTAAACCCATAATGTGTGGTATTTATGACTACTATGGACTCATTAATATCCCTTGTTTAGGGTAGCTTTACGCACACGTATACATTTGTAATGTAATGGTAATGACATCACGAATTATTATTTTTGTCGGTATGCTATCGATCAATATAGCGAACCAGTATAATATGATCCTTTGCATTGAATTCATGTCCCCCGAGCATACGCTTCTTATTTTAAATAGAAGGGGTGTTCGGGCTCAATTAAATCTGGTGACTATAGTTTTCCATATGCACTTACTGTTTGACGTTGCAAGTTTCAACCTACTGAGTCTGGCAGTCGCGCCCGCGCACCACGTACAGACCACCCGTGCCGATTTCGATAAAAGCCATCACTTATCTAGCTAATATTAACAAGATACACAAAATATTTACTCAGCTTGCCATTAAAGATACAAGTTTTTTTTATAAATATAGCACACAATTGACGTCATTACTGTAGGTGCTACCAAACTACTTAAGAAAAGTTATAATTTATGTGATGGATATGGTTTATGTAATCGGTAAAGGTATGCTATTGTTTCATTGCAGGTGGCAAAAGTGGCTTGTCGGCTAGTTCCAGTCGCTCAACTAGTCCGTTGGGACAGGGAGTTGTCAGCTTTATTCCGCGAGCGCCTGCTTCATCGTCCGGGTAAGTTTTGATTATTTTTTTTTTGCGGACATAGTTTATTTTTATATTCCGTTTGAACGTTTTTAAAGCAAATTTTAGTAGCATTGATAAAATTAACGAGCCAAAACGAGGCATTTCAGTAATTCAAATGTGTTTCCCCAATGCTTTTAAATGTTGTACAGACTTTGCAGAATATGATTATAGGAGCTTTCTTAAATGCATAATCATATACTTATTATGTGTTATTTAATTATAATAGTGAAAAATCAATGAATGTCAAAACTCTTGCGTAGAACATAAACAAACGAAATAACTTTAAGGGATTATTTGATTCAAAGCCAGTCTTGTTTATTTTTTGTGTTATGCTTGTTTAAAAGAACTATAGTTCCAAAGGTTTTGGTATTTGCGCAACTAATAGCATTTTTATTTTTAAATATACATGATAACATTTAAAGATATTTGAAAGTTAAACTTTTATAATGTAAGAAGTAAAAACCTATTCTCAAAAGTTCTCAGAAATCAACTTATTTAGATGTCACTTTTCGGTAATCCTAAATGCATGTACGGCAAATACTTAATCATGAATAACACCATAAGACATTTAAGTCATGAAACTTGTTAAACATTGTAGGCACCCGTTGGCTCTAAATGTAAATATTAACTACAATTAGGAATAGCATTAAGATTAAAGTATCACCCAACTAAGTGCTCTAAATTGTCTCCAAGTCAATTAACGGTATCATATCTTTAAACACTTGTTAGTCATAGATAATTAGTCGCCTTATGTTCCTAATCATTGTTATTGTAACTGATAAATTGTATGCTTCAGTAATTGTGTATCCTTAGCGTTCAGCACTTCCACTTCAGCATTTTCATTCTCATAATCAATCTAAGATTGTAAATAAACATTGACCTGTGATCATATTAATTTGAAAATATGTTTTAAATAAAGAACAATAAAATAATAAAAGCGCTTTATCTACCTCAAGTAAACAACCTCGCCTTTAAACGGATTTATAACTTTTTCGTGTGTTATTTTATACGTTCTGACATAATCTGCATTATTTGAGAGAGTTGTACTCTAAAATAATGAAGCACTTAGTCATGTCAACTTGTTCAAAATTAAAAATCGACTGTCACGTTATAACGATTTTTAATGTTAGTAGCTAAAAGTAACCATAATTGAAATTTTTATTTGGTTTCAGGTCACGGCCTAACTCTTCGTTACTGGCACCTGGTAGTAAAATCCCATCCACCTTAACGCAGCAACACCCTCAAACTCCATCCAGCCAAAATGGAACACCTACAAAGCATTCCATGCTCGACAAGTTAAAACTATTTAACAAGGATAAATTGAGTAATGAAAAGCAAAACAGCAAGAGTACGGCAGTATCAAAACGTACAAGTTCCTCCAGTGGTTTTTCCTCGGCCAAAAGCGAGAGATCTGACTCAAGTTTAAGCCTAAATGAGTCTTCGAACACACCAAATGCACATATCAAATCTTCTAATTTAGTAGGACCCAAATCTATAAGACAACAAAGCGATACATTATCAAGAGACAAGTCCGGTAAAAATGTAAAACCTAAATTAGTTAGTTCCAAATCTCCCAGAGAATCTTCTACAAACTTAAACAAAAACAGTAGCAGAACAAATAGTGAAAAGTCAAGAAATAGCCCCAAGCTACCATCTCGAGATAAAGAGTCTAAGCTGGCGGCACCTAAATCTATAAGTAATACAAAATTAAATCAAATAGATGACCATTCCAGAAACCCTAATTCATCAAAAATGGTCAAATTGTCAGGTAGTCAAATGAAGCTCAGTGAAAAACGGTCTGATGGTACCACGGACGTTAAAAATCAAGATAACGTATCACCTTCATCAAAAGGCTATGCAACCCAACAACAAGCAGCCTCTGGTCAGAATTTCGGCACTCCCAATCATACTGGAATTCCTAAACCGACAGCTGCTGTTAAAGGAACGTTTAAAATAGCGAAAGATGATAGACATATTAATAATAAAAGTACAAATAGTCAATTAAGTCCTATACAAAGCAATTCTAGTTTAAATTCTACGAATAACATAAGTGCACTTCCATTCAGTAGAGAGCAGTCTAATTTAAGTAAAGATATATCACAGAAACAAACTTTAGCCGTATCGCCAATGCCTGTTGTAAATTCAGGAAGTCATAATCATACGTCTCAAATGTCTGAGAGTTCACATTCTAATTCCACTCACAGCACAACAGGACAGCATTCTAACTCAAGTGATAGTAGCGTTATATACCGTCCTTCCAGTGAATCTGGCTCTGAAATTTCGAAAGCTGCTACTAGTGCCGTAACTCATAATAAAAGATTAGATATGAATACTACATACATTAATGAAGTTATAAATGAAGCAGAAATCTCTGAAAAAGAAGCTGCTCAGAGAAGAACTATTGAAAGGTCACCAAAACCGGCATTTGATCATAACCGGACCTTGACTGAGTTGAATAAATCGAGTGACAGCCGATCGAGCACTCCGTCACATGGCCGCGACAACTCTTTAGGTGATGATGAAAACCCGTTAATGAATGTAATGCCCATGAGGCCGCTGCTACGAGGTTACAATAGCCACTTGACACTGCCCATGAGAACTTCAGGGTTGACGCAAAAGAACATTCCCGGTTATCCTCATCATGCAAACACAGTCAAAGCTAACTTTGGCAGGGAAAACATGGGATTGCGTGATCGAATAAATTACGGCCCTGGATTTTCAAACCCCGATTATTGCGATCTTGAAATTGCCTCGGGTTATATGTCCGACGGTGATTGTTTGCGGCGTATTAATCTTGGTGAAATGGAGTGTGGACGTAACAATGATATGATGGATGGGTACATGTCAGAGGGTGGCGCTTCGTTGTACGGCAGACGGATGAATTATCAACAACCTTCGCAGCTACAACAACTGGACGAAAGGTGAGTGTCACATATGTTAAAATAATTAACGTCTAATTAACTTGTACATTCCATTTAACTTTCAGTAACTGATAAAAGACTTTCGTCGAGGTCTAATAATATACAAATTAAAAGGCGCCATACGGTATAAAATTCATTGCTACATTGAAATTGCGACTGTAATGGCTGTGTTTTTAGAGATTCTAAGAGCGCCGAGTCAGATACAAAATCTTACGTTACTGAACTGCTATTTTATACTCCTCTTTCACTTCTCAGCTAATATTGCGGAAGTGTTTTGTTTCTTCAATGTCCTTAAGAATTCTTGTAAAATTACTTTAATGACGAGTAATCATAAAATAAATTAATAGATTTATAGGCATTCATTGCACTGCTACCATTAAGAAACAATACTTTATATACTTAATAATTAACTTTGGTTTTGAGTCCTATTTATCAATTTAAGTTTCATTCCATGACGCACAAAAATGTCTTCATTGTTGATAAGTCTCTCCATAGTATATTTCTTTAATATATCAGTATCAGTATGTACTGAAACTGTCGAGAAAATCTATTTTCCAATAGCGTCGAATCCACAAGTGGTCGACCCGCCTTCTGTCATTCTACGACACAATATTTAACGTTACTAATGTATCCCCTAGCTGATAAGTGAAGCTACCTTATATATTACGTAACTTACGTTACTGTAAAAAGTTATGAAGCGTATAAGGATGATTTTTGTGATAAATGTTAATATAACATGTGAAAGTCGCACTGTGTTTTAATATTCATAAACGATTAAAGGTGATATACTGAGCCTTAAAATAGTTCTATTTAATTTACTTAGTCTCTCTAGATTTTCTGATTTTAGACAAAGGGTGCATAATAATATTAGTACTAGGAGACATATGTAGTGAATTGACAGAGAGAAGTAGTTATTTAGTATGGTTGTATGAACAAAGCGGTTGTTAGTATTCGGACGCTGCTTCCCGCGACGATCAACCGACGATCTCTCAGTGAGGACTTGTTCAGCGCACTCACACTGTCGCAGCGTTAGGGGAGAGGGTGGGCTGGATAAAATCGATACTTCTACGTCTCGTGCCGCCCCTACCCCGCACGGCACCTCTGCTTGCCGCCGCCGCGATCCTAACCACCCTTAACCATTCCGCACCATTCGGTACCTTAACGATACAACATAAAACTCTATATTCGTTGCAGGTCACACTGACATTATACATTTTTGGTTTTGCTATGTTACGAATACCATAATGTTTTCTGCCTTTTCCTACAATATCGTCAATAAATTACATAAGTGCAAAGTGTTTGAAATTATTAGATCGCACAAGTTATTAAGGTGAAACTTTACATTATTTCGTAATGTAATATTATAAGATATTCTGCAAGTACCATGAGTACTGGTAAAATTTCAATGTCATGTAATGCACACGTAAATGTCAACGGAAGCTGTTGTGCGTTGAGACGGCGATGTAGTAGAACGGGCGGCAAGCGGCGTCAACGACGGCAAGACCGGCAGGGCGGGCGGCACTCGGCGCCGCGCACTATCGGCGTGCGGGCGCGCCGTACTCGCCGCCCGCGCTTACACACGCACTTGACAAACTTTCCCGATTTCCTCCACGGAAAATGTAAATCTGTTGCCGGCATCGATCGTACCGTCGCCAGACGCGCGCTCGACGAACCGAGCACGCCGATCACAGCTGGCGCCATGGAACTGGACCGCACTTAACAAAGGATCGCGAGGGACCGATCGTGCTTTTCGTTAATCACTTGGACTGTTAAAACTCGTTTAGTCATTGGTGTTAGTTATATTGTGTCATAGACGGTGTAGTGGACCATATGCGTTGTGCCTTCTGTCGCTTGAACTCGGGTGTGCGGGTGTACCGGTCTTTTATAAGGAAAACATTTAAATTTGATTCGATTGTAATGTTGTACGCTAACAATGATAATAATTTTGCTGACAATTAATATACGATCGGTGTTGCCTTGCTATGTGTCTTTGCTTTTCGCGTTAGACGTTATAATAAGCTTACGGTGCTTTATGAATAATATTAAGAAACATTGTACACGATTTATGAAAATACTGTGGCCGATATGGATACAATGAACCTGGTGAGAATTGAATATTTAATATTATTACTATTTCGTTCGGCGTTCAATTAAAAATATGTTCATTATCGTCTCCCCAGCATTGCCATTCACAAGTGTTTGAATAATAATTATGATCAAGTTAATTGTTATGGAGGCATTAACCTTCCAAACATCTGGCGGTTAGCGCAGTCAGTGTATTGCTAGTTTGTCACATGTGGGCACCATTCTTTGCACAATATCACATACTTTTCATTTATAGATTATAATTGTGTCCTTATAATCTTTCGGTGATGTTGTGTCTAAGTAAACGGTGAGTCTAGTACGATTGATTCTTGTAAGGTTATTACTTCGGCTTTCGCCGGGTTATAGGTCGGGGTGGGAATCCCTAAGCCTGATCCCCCGGCTGTATCCTCCGTTTCATTGGATTTTCAATGTTATTAACGTCGAGATACATACCTACCGTTCCCCAGCAATATTTACAGTTAATATTATTTGAATTTATTTCGACTACTTTTAAAACAATATTATATTTTGACAACGTTTAAACGTATAGTTTTTTTAAATAAGGTGGATTCTTTTATTTCCTTATGCCTGGAAATGCCTAAAATTATATTTGAGTAAGAATATGATGAACTTACTTTTGAATATATTTTTTTTGTTTGGAACATAACTTAAGTAACAGTACAAAGGCCTCATTTTTTTTTCTTAGTTGTAACTATATGTATATCTTTAAAAAGTTGTAACTATATATCTACATATAGTTGCTGATAATTATATATGAGGGGTATTTCAATTCAAGCACTAAATGTCTTATAGTAAATACACAAGTTAAAGTTAACCGACCAAACCAAGAAGTATATTACTGCTTAAAATAAGTCGATTGAAAGAGTGTTTAGATTCACATGCTTATTTAGTCAAAACGGAGGGGTGGATTGTATTGCATGCGTGATTCATAAACTGGGTATTTTTAATTTAACGTTTGGCTCTGTGATACTTTCAATAATACGCATTCATTGCAAACATGTAACGATGGTTGAATCTATTAACTGTACTGATGATTTTTGATTGGCAAGTCTGATTGATCGTCAGAAGTATTTGTATAAAAATAGCGTATAGCAGCACCTCATCAAAGAATTATACCAAGTTAAAAGTCAAACAAAGCTTTGGTGACATATAAAGGCTATATGATTTAGATAAGGCTTAATGTGAGAGCATAAAACTAATCTATGTTTGCATATATTATGTATAACATAATATAAGACAGAACGTGCTTTGAGATTATAATATAATCACAAATAAAATTGCAGATGTAGGTTTAGAAATTTAAGAAACGCACGAACAGTAAGAAATTGAACTTTAGAAGGGGGAAAGTTAGTCGCTGTTTGCAAACAAATCCGTACATAATATTCATTTAAAAATCAGCTAATCGTTCGGATAGAACTGACGGACGAATTCCGTTTTTATTTCCTTTTAGATTTGACAGGACGACGTCTGTTAGATCATCCAATAAGCAATAATTTGCAAGAATACAATTCTAATTTAATACTTAGTTCTAATTTCATCAACGTCATCATCATTGACAGCCTTTAATAGTCCACTGGTCATAGAGGTATTTCTAATTTACACTTTGTTAATTGAAAGTGAGAATGATCACTTATATTACTTGTTTTAAACTTTACCTTTATTACTTAGCTGTAACCGTCGAAAAGTCAGCACACAACAAGTTATAATAATTAATGTATATTTTGGAATAAAAGTACCAGGACTAATATACCCAAGTAAAAAAAACTATGTACCTACCTACAATGGGCATTATGAAAAGTTAAACGGAGCGTTTTACTGTTAAATTATTTAGTTAATTGGGTTAAGTAAGTTTACTTGGTTCAAATCACATAATGTGAGCATTTATTTTTGTTTGTTAGTGACATCGTTTATGTTTGAAGATTTGCCATGCTTTGATTAAACGCAATACTCACATATACTTTTATTTATTTGTTATCTCTATGAATATTAAATTAAAACTTCCAACATACAAATAATAAAGAATATTTACGCACATAAAATTAATTTCAAATCGAATCATTCGAATAGTTAAAAAAGAATAGTTAAAAAACAAAGTTAAAAAATAATTCATTATTTTATTCATTGCTGTAGTATTTCGTTTATTCTTCTCGTAACAGATGGGCAACGGAAATGTAAAAAGAAAAGAATCTGTACTATAGGACTTTTCCGCTGCAAAAGTTTTAAATTCTCTATTCGGATATTGCGAAAAGCGAATGCCTGTTCCGATGTTTGTGAACCTCATTGAAATTTTAACGAGGTAAAGTCGAGCGTTGAACATAAGTTGTTTTCTTGCATGTAAGGTTTATTTCAAGTATTATATAATAATTAACACCTCCATACAATGCACAAAAAGATTATAATGAATAATAAACGTGGAGTTGAAAGGCTATTAGACGCTAATGATGCGCTTTAAAAATTATGACGATTGTGTACTAGCATATTGCATAGATAGACCTCCTTGGTCTTACCAGACGAAAAGTTTGAGGAGAGTAATGAATTCTGATATGAGATGATGGCCATGATCTCAAAGACTTGAAGTATTTAATGTAACTCTTAAAAATCGAAACAAAAGCGTAGTTCGTTGTTTAAAAGGAATTCCCAGAACTTTTTGGTTACTAAATGATATCTCTAACATTTCCGAACACTCGCATTGCCATTCTTGAGATTTATTCAAATAGGCCATTAGAATCTTCTCCCAGGGTCGGCAATGCATGAAAGTTGCGATAGAAATGCAAGAAAATAGAAATTGCAAAATTATTTTGCTATACTTGCGAAACTATGGTTCATGAATACAATCTTCAGACAATAGAAAGCCTACCTTGGCGAATCAGGTTCTTTTTATATTAATCTTATTT